GAATTAATTTCGAATTCAACTGGTGAGTATCTCAGTTGCACTATACCGCATGATTTGCCTCCATGGACCAAACTGGTATCGACAACAGTAAACTTCATATGGTTTGGATTGCTAGTAGCAACCCTGGGTTTGAGGTAGCAATGCCGTCGATAATTAGATTGATCATCCTGGTCTGATGTCGCCTCCGGAACCCACCCACCTTCTTCATTCCAGCTCCCAACAGGACCTTCTTCAGCTTCAAGCCGAAGAAGTTCAGGTTCAGATGCCACTTTGCTCAGAACATCACTAACAGAATCAAAATAGTGCTCTCCCTTTATCAATTTTTTTCTTGAGAACTTCTTTATGCCAGGCATAAGAAAAACCAGAGAATGTTTGAAACTGACATAACCGTGATTCTTAGGTTGCTCAGAGTGCCATCCATTTGCTAGCAAACGGGGCCAAACAGCCTCCCAAAAAATATCATTACATCGAGCTTTGCTCAACCGAAAGCCTCCAGTCAAGCACTTCATTAGTTCACTGAATGTAAGAGAACTAAAAGCTTTGCCAGTAGGTAATTTTGGACAAACTGGAAAATCTTGATTGTTCTTTCCAGGTTCCATGGCAAAGCCTGTGAGATCTTCTTTCCCTTTCCCAATTCCTATAGTTTCCACAAGTACATGAATGCCAACAGTAGACTTTAAAAGGGAGACATATTCTTCAAGTGAAGTTTTTCCCTCTGCAAATGACTTATAGCCCTGCTAACGGATCACATGGGAGATAAGTGAGAATCATAACATTTACCCATCAAAGAGATAAAAGTATATTTAACAACGTGCATACAAGCTTTCTATAAGACAATCAGACTACAAAGAAATCCATTTCTAAATCTGAGTTAAGAATATGTTATAGGTGAATCAACCTTTTCCCAACCAAGCCATGAAATACTACGCATCTGACTTGCAACAACAGAAATTCAACATTATTTTTAAAATTCAGCAAATCGTCAACTGTTGATTCTTTTGCTATAAAACAACTCTCCTATCGCCATTTAAAGAGCAAGTCAAAGTGAATAAACAGTAAGCAAGAAGGATCCAATGGAGTGGTGAACCCATGGGAGTATAAAATGGTATTAACATGTATTCAGTTCACTGTCAAACAGCATATATTTATTCTGGCATATACTGCATGGTAACAAGGTTTCATTTTTGACCTCATTGCAAGATGGAAAAAGAAATGGTGAAATAATTTCAGTGTGACACAATGAGTATACATACACTACATTTAATTACTGATCCAATAAGTTATATTCCAGGAAATAAAATAAAATTCTCAGATAAGTACTTAAACAGCAGTGAATGATAAAGTACCTCTGATAAAGTCTTTTGAAATTCCTCTGCAACATGAGGAACCAAACGAGATAACAATTCTCGTTGCCTCCACCCTGTAAAAATTTTCTCTCCAGTAATACATTTCTTTCTTCTAATTTTCCGACACTCTGACCATCTGCGGTGTGATTCGGACCTATAAAACTTCCCATAATAAAATGACAGTATTTCTCCCATGTCTTTGTGCTCTATGAATCTCTGCACCTGATAAAAATTCTTCCCAAAAATGTATAAGCCCAGAAGAAAACCATCCACTTCAGCATCACTCCAAGTGCTTCTTGATGAATCAGGAACTGGATAACAGCATTTGCTTCTAATCGACTGATTCGAATCCTCTTCAACCAACCTTGGTCCTAGATTTTCTGCCCTTGATTCTTCTCCCTGGGCCAACCCAAATTCCAAGGGTTCAACTTTGAGTTCTGAACTTTTCTTCTTTATTCTAGTACGATTCTTTTTGCTGTTTCTAGTTTCCTGGGACCTCTTTGCATTAACTGCATCATCAGGGTTAGTTGGAGATTCCAGCCCCTTATCTTCAATGTTCTTAACTTCATCAGACCATATAATTGGGACAGGTAAACCGACTAGAAAGTCATGGGAAACATCAACAACTTTTGAATCAGCAGGATTGGTCAAAAGCTTAAGCTTCTCAGCTTCTACATTCATGAGAGGAATTTCCACCTGGTACTTATCACCAACTCGGGGACTCACCTGCCGTTCTCCAAACACATTGCTTATACCAGGAGTGCCTGGATAAAATAAATGCTTAATAGATGTCTCTTTGATGCAATCACCAACATGATCTGGCTGAGCTGATTCCATCTGCCAAAGTTTGAAGAAACATAAGAAAAAACACTTAGGAATGGAAAAGAATTTAAACCTTCACCATATTGCGTGGGTTTCAATAGGCATTAGCGCCAAAGCAGTATAATGACAAACGAAACCCAGATACAGATATCTAGGACAAAGAAGAAACGACCCCCCAATGAAAAAAACATATGAGAGCATAGAATTTCAAGATCACCAAACCAAAATCAGATAACCAACCTAGATCTATATTGATATAAGATACAACACCAAATGCTATCAACCATGTCAAAACAATAAACAGAACAGAACGCTGTGTCACAAAAACAAAAGCAAAAGAAATAGCTAACGCAATTACAACAAAACCAAGACAGAAAAGCTTATGCAATTACAACAAAACCAAGAGAATATGCGATTACAAATATAAAGCCAAAGTAATAGCCAGACCAAACCTTTCAGAGCCCAAACTCCTATTCAAATTCTCAAACTAACCCATAAAATTTAGCTCGTATCAAACTTCAGAAAAAATGCAAACAATATAAGAACAATGCATAGAGTTGCCTCATAAGCGTTAAACATGGTATGCAAAAGAGTATTGAGAGAGAAAATTCAGACCTGACTAACCTCCATGGAAGAGCTTCAATGTCAAGAACCCACGTGAGAGAACCAAGCCTGGGCAAATGGGTTTTCGTGTTAAGCTTTGATTCACATCTATTACCAACCTTCACTATGTATGAAACACATCGAAACCAAGTAAAGCAATAAATAACAAGAACCAAACACAAACTGAGAGAAGGAAAGAGAGAGAGAGAGAGAGAGAGAGTACCTGGTTCAAAAGAGTTAAACTTTCATATGGCTGTGCAAGGGTGAATTCACGGGCTCAAAGGGAAGGACAGAGAAGTAAGAATGAGAAAAATCAAAGTGTCTTTGCATACAGAGGAAGGCTAGGAGAGGAAGAGAATATGTTGTCTCGTGTCAACAGAGTTTAGTACAAGAGAAAAATGGCATCACATAGAAACTTTTCGTGAAAATAAAAATAATAAAAATACTACAAACACAAACCACAGCACATAGAGTTGAGTTGGATAGGTTTATTGCGAATGACCATCGTCTAGTGGTGTCTAACCTTTACATAGTCATGCCAGATCTAAATTTAAATTTAATGGACAATATTCGCCGAATACAAAATTTACATAAGTTGTTCGCGAATTACTGTAAATAAGAAAAACTTTACCAATGACTCGTTACTTTAACTTGAGTATTTAATGGGATTGATTGAAACTCATATGTAATTATGATTATTTTCTTATACGAAATTAAATAATTAGAACTGTTTTTGTATCTTCATGCATACTCAAATCACATTAGAACATACATAGTAGAGGAGGAGTATGAAGTACCTTTCGACGACCCTAGGTCAATCTTATGATAATGCTCATTTAGCAAGTGGAAGTGTGAAATGAAGAAGGGATGGAGGTGCGTGTTACTGAAAATATTTGGATATTAGTAACAAAATTTTCACTTTAAATAGATAAGGGTAAAAATGGAGCAATGTTACATGCAAAAAATAGTCGATCATGGACTATGATGTGTTGGCATTGCATGTTACTTTTTTATTGTGAAAAGTTGACACGTTCGTGGACCACAAATACCATCTTAGCATCTAATCCTCCCTAATAAATCATGTTCCCTCACTTCAACACAACATGGAGAAGGTTATCAAGATAATTCTCTTTGTTCTAAACAGTCACAAAATTTTCGTAGTTGATGTGACCATCACAAAGAGCAAAGAGATAGATAATATATTTTAATCGCATAAATAAGTTTGATATAGCATGAATAGGTAATGAATTCTTATCCACACACAATTCTAGCTAATTAATAGTGTGATATACAACTTTGTAGCATAATACACGACATTGTTTGCAAAGAGAATATTACATTGTTTTCAATTTATTTTCAAACAGTGTATTTATCAAAAATAACCAAAAGAAGTATAGAAGTAGATTAGGTTTATTCGTCAAGACGTATGTCGATTAATTTATTGTACATTAGAATAGTTTAAAATACGTTAAAAAATAATGAAAAGAAGTTATTGGTCTGAAACTCTGAAAGATAACCCCACCCCTAATTGATCATAGATAGATATGTTACAATATATAAAAATTCTCCCCCTAATTGATTAGGTTTATTTGTGTAGATCTGTCGTAGTTATGTTGCTTGGGGTCTTTCCCCCCCAGTTCACCCCAAAAAAAAAAAAAAAATTTCTCAAATATCAACCCGTTGCGTTGTAACGGTGTCGTTTAGTTCACATAACACGAAAACTTCGGTACCGGTGTTACAGTTTGGTCGCACGACCGCTCCAATGATGCCGGTCTCCGTAAACGGCAGTTTATGCGAGCAAACGACGTCTTCTAACTCTCCTCTCCCTCATTTCGCGGTTCTTGTCCTCCTCCATGGAAATGGAACCGATCCTAATCTCCTTTTCCAAATGGATTATCGGGTTGACCCGATCCACCACTATCCAACTTTCTAATTTTTGGTCGAATTCCACCATCCGACTGGTCACCGCCGTGATTTGAGCTTCATACTGAGAAAGTCAACGCCTTTAAAAATATTAAACAAAAACTTGTGCAAAAGATTGATTATTTAATTGCATAATATTGATTTTCCATCTGGACATTCGTGCTTCGGAGCCTGTTGAGTAAGAAATGTGCTTGCTTATTGAATTAAATAATCTTAAGTGGATGGATTTTTTGAACTTTGAGTAAGTTGGTAAGCTTAAGAAATACGAATTTACAGCCCTGGAAGCTCAAGTGGGAAGTGCATCAGAGAGAGAGAGTTCGGAGCATTTTTGAAGTATTACTGCAAGATTCAATCTTTCATTTATTTATTTATCTGGGTTCTTTGTGGGAGAGAGTTTGGAATATATATGTAAAGTTTGTGCAAAGGAAGATCGATTTGGCTTCAGTTGGATGCATGTTCCTGCAGCTTCTTCTTTATCCGGGTATGTTTTCAGTTCTGGTTGAATTAGCTTGTTTTCAGCTTCATTTCTGTATCTTTCTTTTGTTAGATGTTGTTTGGCAGCTGGAAAAATCTGAGGTAAGTCTTTTAAATTGTGTTTGATGTTTTGGTTTTTGCGAATGAAATGATAGAATTAGAGCTATTCAAATGGTGGTAATGGCAATTGGTTCCTTCCTGCAGTTTTAGCAAGAGCTTTTATTTTCCTTGGTTTAAGATTTTTTGAGAGAGAATTTTAGGTATGCTTTTGCTGATTGTGAGAGAGTTATTAATTTTGCTGAAATCTAAGTTGCAAAAGCTTGACTCTGATTCATGTTGTATGATATATCATATACCCATTTCTGCACTATTTGAGTTTCAGCTTCACCCTGAATTTTGGGTTTTCTATGTTCTGATTTTTAAATTTGTCAAGACAGAAATGCTTGACTTACTGAATCATGTATCCCTTTTGAGTATGAACTGTATGATAACTTGGTGCAGAGGCTTGTGGTGAATTTTAGTTATTAAGTTCAGATCATTTCATAATCACTATGATTTGGTTTTTTCTTTTTGACTAGGTTGATGAACTGAGAAAAGAAAGGATCAGATTGGTGTTTGGTTAGAAGGAAAGCTGAAGTGTTGTATTTTAATAAGGATGGGGAGGTCATGCCAACCCAAATGTAGGCTGGGTAGATTAATGAGTTGGCTTCAGATTGTATTGGGAGGCCTTGTTATAATTTTCAGCATATGTAGTCTCTTCAAGTTCTACTCTGCAGGGATTTTCTTGCACAACGAGGACATATGCCGACAATTTTATGGCGTCAAAGAGGCATACGAAGGGTTCGACCTAAAAGCTTTGTCTGATCGAGTAGGGGAAGTGCTAAGTAGATTGGAAAGCTTACAAGAAAAGCTTGAATCAGCTATGCAGCAAATGGAGAAGAACAAAGTAGACTTGCATACAACTAATATTACAAAATTGGAGTACAAGAAGTATCTGGAGGAGGAAGTAATCAGGCCTCTTTATAGTGCTCACATTTCTCTGAGACTGATTCGGTTACCTAAGCCCGAAGGTATTAGAAACTCTTCGATGAAAGAGGAGCCTTTGATTAACACTTTTGAGATTGAAGAGATAAGGAAGTATATAACACCAAAGCAGAGTAGAGTTGGGAAGATTACTATATATGGTACAGAGAGGATATTCAATACAATTGGACATGCCTGTGTGTTATACAAGAAAGAGCTGGAAGAGTACATGAGCTATGACATTGGGTCTTATTGTAAAGACGATTGGAACTTAGCACAGAAGCTGATGCTTAATGGTTGTGATCCTTTGCCCCGAAGGCGGTGCTTGACAAGGGCCTCCATGGTTTACCAGAAGCCTTACCCAATCAATGAGTCTCTGTGGAGATTGCCAGATGATAGAAATGTGAGGTGGAGCAAATATCTGTGCAGGAACTTTAAGTGCTTGATGGGCAATAACAGGAGGGGTTATTCTAAGTGTGTCGGGTGTTTTGAAATGGAGAAGGAAAAACTTAAATGGGTTACAAACAGCTCCCTTCCCATTGATTTTCTGATCAATGATGTGTTGGCTATTAAGCCGGGGGAGATAAGGATTGGTCTTGACTTTGGTATTGGTACAGGAACCTTTGCTGCAAGGATGAGGGAACATAATGTTACAATAGTCTCTACTGCTCTTAACCTTGGAGCTCCTTTCAATGAGATGATTGCACTGAGAGGTTTGATCCCATTGCACCTAACATTGAATCAACGGCTACCATTCTTTGATAACATAATGGACATGATTCATACCACTGGGTTTCTGGATGGCTGGATTGACCTGCAATTGCTGGATTTTATCCTGTTCGATTGGGATCGAATTCTGAGGCCGGGCGGGTTGTTATGGATTGACCGGTTCTTCTGTCAAAGAAAGGATTTGGATGTCTTCATGTACATGTTTCTGCAGCTGAGATACAAGAAGCACAAGTGGGCTATTTCTCCTAAATCAAAGGATGAGGTCTACTTTTCTGCACTGTTGGAGAAACCTCCAAGAGCAATATGATCATATTGTAACAAACTTTCTTCTTCTTGGAATGTCACACTTACCTATAGTTTACTAACATACATGTTTGGAAGGCTCCAATCACATTTGGTGGTACTGAGAGTAGCTTTTCACTTAAATGTGACTGTCCTTGTTTTCCTGATCCACTTTTGGCTAAGAACTTAAATTATGATTGATGACATCTCCACCTAAATGGCCATATGCCCACAAACACATTTTCATTTAATTTTCATATTCTACTTTATAAAGTTTGAATTCTTTAGAGATTTACAGGGGTTTCCTTGCAATTAATGTGTAAATCAGAGCTAGCTCTCAACTGTTGAACTTGAGATGTTCATGAATAATTTTATTTGTTATAATTTAAGTGGATATTTATTGATATTATTCCTTAAATTGAGGAAATATCAATTATGTTGTCAACCCATATTATAACACGGATTGTATGAACTATTCCAAGTTACCCCTTTAAATGAAGCATCCCACAGAGTCTATCGATATTGGTCTTTGCTTTTTTGTTTTGGGCCTTTGGAGCTGGTATGTGTTACGTTTGAGGCTGTCAACTAATTTTGGCAACAAAAGAAAGAAAAAATATTAGGCTTTCAATTTTCAAGCACTAATATCACCTATCAACCTGTCAATGAGAATTTTATTTTATTTTTTCAAACCAAAACTTGATCATATAGAGAATAAAAGGAATCAAAGCAAAGTTGGACATGGCCTACAAAAAGAGGGAAAAGTACACAATGTGTTTTATTCTCTTAATTGAGGTCCTTAAAAGAGTTCCAAGTATATAGGATTTTGCAGGATCAATCCTGTAAAAATGTATCATGGGTTTGTGCCAATTTGCATTTGTTTATTACCATATCATTTTTTGATACGGCCCAAAATGTTGATGGTGCACTATAGTTAACCTAATAATTAATTGTCCAAAGCCTAGATTGTTTAATAATGGAAGAACATTTGTACATCTTGGTTTATATTTTATTCAAGCATATATACTTTATAGACCTAAACCATGCTCTTATTTATATAAACAAAATGTTGAAAGCAAGCTATCATATCAATAAGGCCCAAAATTATTCTCTCACTATAGATTAGGTTTGCACTATTAAATTATTCTCTTATTAATGACTCGTTTTGGAGTGATTTGGATAAGTCATAATCACTTTTGGGGAGAAGCACTTCCCATGTGCTTCTCTATATAATCATTTTAAGTGATTATAGGCCAAAACACCTCATATGTGCTTCTCCATAAAATCACTTAAAACCATTTAAATTGATGATATAGAAAAGTGATTCTCCATGTAGAAGTGTTTTTTGGCCTCTATATCCAGAAGGATAATGTTTCCTTCTTGCCTATAAGGAGGAACTCCTCCTTGCCTGTTGATGTGGCTCAGCCACAATCCGACACGTGTCTCTCTTGTTAAGAATAATTAAAGTGAAAAATAAATGCACCTTTGAGAATAAAGAAGAAAAGAAAAAAAAAAAGAACAAGCGTTAGTTTGTGGTTGAGTCACATTAGTGGGTAAGGAGGAGTTCCTCCTTATGGGCAAGGAGGGAAACATTATCCTATCCAAAATCACTCCCAAAGATCCTAAAAGTTAATGATTAAGGGTTAATCATGATATAATTGCATAAATTAAAAGTATGTCCTCCTCTAAAATAAGTCATATATTGGCCCTCATATGCTAAAATGGGGAAAGGAACAATGAATTGTTGTCTTTTGCACCCCCATTATGGTTAAGCACAATACAAAATGTAAAAGTAAGCATGTTTGTGGATGGTTTGCTAATAAATCCGTACTTGATATTGGGTTTTGAATTCAAACTTCCATATTAGCTACTACTTTTCTTTCACATTAGCTACTCCTTCACTGTCCTCACTACTGTTTATGTCTACATAATTAGTGCTGTGTGGTCCTTCCTATTTCTTATAGGATCCGAGCAAATATTTGCTTAGTTGGTTGGTGGAAATGGAGTCTTTTTTAGGAAGCTTTTGGAGGAGTTTCGATCTGTAAATGCTTCATTTAGCTTACAAAATTCTTTGATTAATTATAGTCAAATGAAACCACATAAGACCGAATACTTATCAATACATGCATATAATAATGTTTGTAAGAATATATATTAAATTAATCTTTATATCTAATTAAGGATTACTCCAAAACCAAAATGTTATTAGTCTGCTGATTAGAGATTAATTTAGGGCCTCGTTAGGTCTTATTAGCATCTTATCTTATCTGTAAAGCAAGCTGAACATACGTTCACTTCACAGGTTAAAGGAAATGCTTTGCCTGCTTGTCACCAATTTGAGTAACAAACTCATAGTAATTAAACCTAATGAATGAGCTAATCAAACACTAAAAGGTTACTAATCAGTTCTTTTTAGGTAGTTTTTGGTTGGATCCATCCTTGAACATGAGACGTGCACAAATGTCATCCACTCATCTGAATACGGTACGAACTACGAGACACTTTAGGCTTAATTAATCCAGATTATTGTTAAGAGGTTTCGTGGGGACCATTGTTCTCTACAAATGGCTTTAGCCTTTCTACTGTTTACATTAATTTTTTTATCAATATCATCTAATACGTATTTCTTTTGAATGTAATTAATTGCTAATTAGGTCAATTTAACTACTTGAAAAGCTTTAGGCCATGTTAAACTCTAATTTGACTATCATAATTTTGGACCAGTTGGATTCGATATTGACTATTTTAATTCATATATCTTGGCTGCATCGATTTTATTAGTGAAAATCCATAACATGTCACCATTTATAAAATCACATTTCTTTTCTTCTTAATTTTTTATTTATTTATAATACTAGGTAGGGTACAATCAAGACTAAATCACTTGACACAGTTAATCTATACTAAACATCATGACTTGTGACGTCCATCCATACGTATATGCACACACATACATAAGCATCTATAAAGACGCGCAAGTGTGCGTTCTGATTCAGAGCAACGTGTCGGTGTCAAAAAAGAACAATTTTTACTCCAAAATCAAGTTGTGTGGATCGACCAATATGGTAGATGAACAAGATGGGTTGCTGCCAATTGCAAACGTGGGTCGCATCATGAAGCAAATTCTTCCCCAAAGAGCCAAAATTTCCAAGGAAGCCAAACAAAGAATGCAAGAGTGTGCAACTGAGTTTCTAAGTTTTGTGACGGCTGAGGCGTCTGACAAGTGTCACAAGGAGAATCGCAAGACCGTGAATGGAGATGACATCTGTTGGGCTCTGAGTGCTCTAGGTTTTGATAACTATGCCCAGGCTACTATAAGGTACTTGCATAAATATAGGGAAGCTGAGAGAGACAAAGCTGCCGCAAATGCCAACAACAACAACCAAAACAAAGCAGCAGATATTATTATCATGAGCAGGGGCCAAGATATGAACGATATCGGAGATCGAGCAGCAAGTATCTACATGGCAAGTGAACAAGGCTTGCAGGTAGGGGAGCAAACCCAAACTCCAGATTTGGAGTTTCGGATGCTTGAGAAAGGTGACGGCACCAAGCCATCTGTTGATCAAGAGCATAATTTGTTATCAAATAATGTTTGATATGAACTTAGTTACTTGCTAGTCTGAGGTGAAGTTGTTCTCTCTCCTCAATATTTCATGCTTTCTTTGATTTCCTTGTGTATTTTCCGTTTTATGAGAAGAACGCGTGTATATACTAATTGTGTTTTAATTATTAGCTGGTATTATGGGTTTATAATTAATTAACATCACAGATGGGTTTTACAGATCATAATGTTAAATCATAATGACATGCACAACCAATCTGAAGGAGATCTTCGAACTCTATTTTCTCTTCAGAGATTTTCCCAGATATTATTTAGAGAAAAAGATCTGAAAATTTAAAGTAGCTGAATTTTTTTTTTCTTTTTCCGGTTCTTGATCCGAGCATTAATATTCATCTCCCATGTCTTTCTGGGGAAATCACAGAAGTGCAACAACAGAGAATACGTATGTGATATATAGCCTTAGCCAGCAGCTTTCCAACAGTTTTTAGCAACCATAATGCTGCTTGGACAGTAATTTAAGACTCAAATACAAATGAATTTCCTTCATATAGTCATATAGTAAATTAATAATTAATGTACTAGGTTTAGGGTTTGCTTAACCCTAGAATTAGGGACCACTATAACATGAGTTACCGTGAAAGCTCAGTAGAATCTCAGGCATGCTTATAGTTAGTTTACTATAGTCTTATGGATTAGGGTAATCTTCCCGTTAAAGATTAGTGACTAATAAAACTCGAAGTTGTCAGAGTTAGGGTTAAACATGCAACCTAGGGTTTCTATAATTATTTCTCTTCGTAGTGGACCACTTTTCAACCATCACAAACTCTCTCTCTCTCTCTCTCTCTCTCTCTCTCTCTCTAATTAAAGAAGTAAAGATCTTAATTACATAAGATCTGCAAAAGAAAAAAACAATTGTTTCCCCATTAAAGCAATGATCGATAGTCTTATATTTGGGGAGGAGGGAGGAGGGGAGGGAGAATTGAGAAACAAAAGCTAATTAAACCATTACTATATAGTGCTATGTGTGATGATTACTGATAGGATAACTTCAAAAACCTTAAACTTTAGGTCACCGATGCTCTACTCTACCATTTGAGGCTCTTTAATTATGGGATTGTTTTGAAATGCTCAAATATTTGGGAACAATTTTCCCAATTCAGTACCATGTTATGGTTATTTATTTATTTATATAGAATATATAATATCGAAATCTTCAAAATTATGGGACCAAGACCAACAATACTATGAGGAACACTATTTCATGGTTTTCTTCTTTGTATATAATAATTGTCGGTGATTACAGATAAAAAAAAGCTGCTTCCATGAACTCCGACCATGGAATCACGGCATCGAGCTTCATAATTAACCTTCTCAATTAATTACATGATCAGATGGCACTTTGGCAACAGTGAATTAACATTCCAGTCTATAATAATTAATTGATTGCTAATACAATAGCAAAGCAGCCATTCTTCTTTATTTGATGCACCCATTTTCCATGACAAAGGACTAACAAGAGATCATGGGGTTGTCTATGTGAATTGTGTGAGTTGAAGCTGCTCGATTACCTATAAAAAAAGTGACGAGATGTTAATGGTCCTCGTTTGGTAATCATTTCATTTTTAATTTTTAACTTCCACAAGGGTGGAGAAATGACGGTCGGAACGGAAGGTTGTGGTTGAAATGCACACAAAACGAAAACAATTTTAATTCTTTTCTAGTTTTTGTTTCATTCATTCCCCTTCACAGACAATATGCACAATTTTAAGCATTTTCATGGCTTATCTCTAGCATAATGGCTACACATAAAAAGTGTTTCTTGAATAGATCTGTGAAATCTCTCACAAAGTCCTAGAAAATAATCGGAGGCTACCCCATTCAGAAAAGATAATAGGGTCATTTTCTCATTTCTTCCGCATTTGATATCCATCCGGTAAGGCCAAACAACAGAAGCATAAACGGTTGCCAAAAGGAGAATGAAACAAAAACCAATGGAATGGAGAAAAATGCTCAAGTAATTGGATTAACAAAAGCTTCCACATATCCCCAACCATCATCAACATCAGGTCCTACCCAATAACCAGATATGATCATGTAGCTACAAGAATCTACATTGATATAACAATACATTCTTTCAAAATGAGGTTTTGACGTGGTTAAAAGATGATCTTGACAACTCCGATTCAAAGACGATATGCCCGTATTTGTCCTGCAGGAGGCAGAAGGCTTTGCAGCTGCAAATGTAATTCATACGGTTAGCTTAAACAGAGCAAGCAGGAACAATATGGTTGAGAGTTCCATGAAAATATGACTAAAGAATAGCATCTTGATAGGCTAAGGCTTATTCTGTTTACCATGAAAAATGGAATGCCTTTAAAGTATTAAAAGAGAGACTTTTAGTTTAAGTTTTTTTCTTTTCTTTCATGATCATATTCAATTGAGATATATTATCCAAAGAAAAGGGAGCTTACTACTAGTACCTTGAAGAGATTCTAACTTCCTGAAAAATCAGCAAACTTGGGCTGAAGTTACCCTTCACACTGGACTCATGTTAGAACACCCCAACCTGACACACGATTTGGAACCTTCAGAGGTTCTAGTAATTCAAATACATCCTCAGCCTAATGCTATTATGCAATTGATCTCTAATGCTCATATTTTTACTACTTTTTTTCTACACCTAACCATGTGATTTGACTACAATTTTAAGATAACAATGAAAACAAAATGAAGATGAACATATTGCATTCTCCTCTCAAAAAGTACTCAAGGACTGCATAGATTCAATAGAATATCAAGTTTTGGATTCTCTATATTTCAGGAACAGAGGAATATTTAGGTTTCTTGTCTTGCAAAAAATTTGGTTTGTGCATTGGTTGTCCTATGAGTTAATGACAGATTTTGGGTTTATTTGTTCCTTCCATCTCTTTCTCTATTATTTTTTCTTCTATCCATTCTCTCAAGCAACATAAAAACTAAAGGCTACACATTTTGGAAAAATCCTTTCATAACATCTTTTAACTTCTTACTTACTCATTGGCTTAAGTCTCTTCCTCTGCAATTTATAAGGCAAAATATATTGTACACTCCTCTAATGAATGGAAATTATTATCAAATAATTAAAAGACAACCAATTCAGGGTATGCACAAAATCTTTCAAAATTGGGTTGAGTACCACAATTACAAGGTAGGTCTGGTTTCTTGACTGAAAAAAGAAGAAGGTAGTTCTGGTTTCAGCTATAAGTTGGTTCAAGTTTTGCTAATTACCAATGTTCGAAATACTCGAAAAGAGAGAGAGAGAGAGAGAGAGAGAGAGAGAGAGAGGCAGCGTTTTCTTTAAAGTCAGGAAAAAAAAAAAGGACCTGACCCGCCCAGGCCTCCTAGGCGGGCGATTTTTAGTATCTTATGAAACCTAATCATATCCAAGTATAACAGTAAGCATAACTGGCAATTGAGAAAAGAGATTGAAGAAGAAAACCTGTTTCTGAAGTTGGTTGGCTTGAAAGTCCAACAAAAACTGATTTTCTCGGAGCTGTTTCCTGGAGTTTAATAATAACAACAAAAAGCATCAATAAAAAAGATTGGAACACAAATTATTTTTCAAATCCCCAAAGCATTTTTCCCTCTCCTGCTTTCAAATCCCAAGTTTTCTAAGACTGTTTCAGCAGCAGAAGGATAAATGCTAGAGTTTTTTTTGTTGACGACAAGTTTGGTAAATGTGAACTTACCTTTGTGAACCAATGTGAAGCTGAGAGAGGCACAGAGAGGGTCATGGACAGAAGGCACGCCATTGAAGCTTTCAACTTTTGAGTCTCTTTCTTCTTTCCTTTCTTCAGCTCAGTGTCAGCACCGGGCAGTAATAAACGACTCTCAACGGTGTCGTTTCTTTTAAAGTTTCGCCCTAATATTTCCGAAATAATATTTTCGGATAAGATTTTCGGGTTCCTACGTGTCAATACTATTCATATCTCATAATCGGATAAAATTTTCAATTTCAAATTTCAGATAAATTTTAAAAAAAAAAGGCTGGTATTTATAGAAAAAAATTCATTAATTTTTGGGTATTTTTTAAAAAATTTTCCGAATTTTTTCCAGTATTTTATGGCAAAAAAATTGGCTGCCGTTGGATTGGAGGAAAAAATCAGATCGGAGAGCCCAGACGACGCCACGTGGCAACAGGAAAAAAATCAAATCAGCGATGCACTGTAGCGATACTGTAGCGGGGGGACTGTAGCAGTACTGTAGCGGTACTGTAGCGGTTACTGTAGCGCTAACTGTAGCGCTACAGTAACCCCCCTCGTTTTGGACCTGGGGCGAAAGTTGCCTTCGCAGCCCGGTGTGGTGGCGCCCACACCCCCCCGGGCCTGGGCTGCATGGCTGGAAGCGGATTTTTGTTTTTTTCCCCCCTCCCCTCGGGCTGGGCTGCATGGTTGGAATAGCTCTAATTACCAAACCCAACCCGACCCAAATGCGTATCAAGCTCATTCGGAGGCCCATTCACAAATAAAACCCCGTAGCATGAATTCCAAGCCTAAAGAAGAAGTATGGGCCCGAAGGTTCAACAATGAAGGGTAATTCTGTAGTGAGGGCCTAATATATGGCCATTAGGTAAGATTATATCTCTTAACCATTAGATCATGTTAACCAATTTGATCCAACGATCAATTAATTTAATCCAATAGCTAAAAGATATGACCTCACCTAAGGGCTATATAATAGGCCATCACTATAGAATTCTTGCAACAATGAAGGCCTTTGATTATTTATTATTTATTTTTAATACAAGTTTTTGACTTTGTTTAAAAATAAAGAGTACGGCCGCGCGGCTATACTATGCTTTTTTTAAAAATGGTATAGCCGGGCGGCTATACGAATTTCGACACGTGGCGCCTAATCGATAGAGGGGCTTCTTTTTAAACAATAGTACCGCCGCACGGCTATACTCCGTGTTTTCAAATTTTTTTAAAAAGAACTTGTGTTGACACGTGGCGCCTAATCGATGGGGTGCTCTGTTTTTATATTAAAAAATCGTATATTAAAAAATCGTACAGCCAAACGGCTATACTCAATTTTTATTTTTGAAACGGCTATACTATTTTAGTGGGCTGTGCAACTGTTCCGGTTTGTCAATAGTATAGCCGTACGGCTATACCCGATTTTTTGTAAATTTTTTTAAACAGTATATGGACCTTTTTATTTTTATATAAATTGTCTTTAATAAATAGTATAGACGAGCAACTATAGTATTTTACATATATATATGTGTGTGTGTGTGTGTGTGTGTGTACGTACATATTTTTTGATAATACATTTGTGTTCTATACATGTCTCACGTTTTTTAAAAAGCAAACATACAAGAGTCGTATTATACATGTACATACGTATTTTTAATGTTTTATACATGTAATTTTTACAAAATTTTCAGTAAGACACAGTAAATTCACGTATTATACGAATAATTCTCAAATATTATTGAATATGAATAACATATGTTATAAAAATTATATTAAAATATTATATAGTGGAAGATTAATATCTACTTTGAATATGTTGAAACTAGCAAATTAATATTTATAAAGTGCAAACTAATGGGGATTCTTTCACATGACCTTGAGTGCAGGGATGCCAATATCTCACTTCGAATTCATCTTGTGTTCCAGTGGCATCAAGCTGCATTTTGTACATGCACTAAGGGAAATGTAGGGAAGTTCTTGCAACCTATCTTTTTTTCATTTCTTGAATGCAGGACACGGTGGAGGGAAGAATATAACATATGCAGACTCCACACTTTTCTCATGATTTATTTTCTCTATCCCTTCCATTTTTAACGGGGAAACTAACATAACAAGTATGGGAGTTGGAGTCTTGACAATGGGCTAGACTAAAGTTTTCTTTTTGTGAGCTTTTAGAACGCATTTTATTTCTTGATATTATTTTAAGTGTGTAAGGAATTGTTGGCTTATGGCTGGAATTGTTTTGGGGATTTTATTTTTATTCCATTGAACTAATTGATTTTCCATTTATTCTCTTGGGGGTTGATTGATTTTCTAAAATACAAGGTCAAACTAATCCCCCCCTCCAAAGAAAATTTTAAAAGTAAAAAGGGATACTGCTAAATCACAAGATCATTGTCAAGGCTCAGAAAAAAATTTAATCCACTCAAACTCAGTGTCTTAAATCGACTGATTTGACAACATAACAATAAAAATAAAAATAGAAACGAGAGGAGAAAGAATATATTAGTTAAAGAACAGGTAAAATTCTCTTATTCTACAATAATCGTACAGGATGATCGTTTGGAGTATCTTTCCGAAGCAAAACAAAAAACTTCCAAGGGAAGCACCGAGATAAATTTACCTGAAACCAGATGAAGAGGGTCAGTACAACGACTAATTAAATTTGCCTCTCCAACTGTTTAGACACCAGTTGCATTTATAAAACTAAATGTCCCTCACAAACCCTATGGGGCAAGAACAAGAAATTGCCAAGAAACCCAAATATGACGGCGAATTTTATACATGAAGGACATACATTTCAGTATGAGAAGGTACAGGTTGCACTTCGTTTGAGCTCCTCTTCGACTTGTGCTTCGATTTCTTATCCCGCTTCTTACTTCTGAAAACCAGTCAAAGTTTGGCATTAATACAAAACAAAAGGGCACCAGATTAAATGTGACTATTTCTAGATAAGGAATAGCATACTCGTCATGTGAACTAAGACCCCAACAAGATTTCAGTTTTCGGTTGATGTGCTTGAGATCCTTGTCTGAAGGAAACTTGTATTTTCTTGCCTGCATATACATTAGCCAGGAAGAAAAGCAGATTGGAAAATGAAACCAAAAAGTTATCAGATAAATTTTTTCAAAATCCTGAACTTAATCATCTAGCTTTATGATAAATAATTTTCACAAATGTTTGTGCTGTATCACAGAGTCAATGGAGTTTGCATCACACTTGTATGTAGATTGCAACGAATTTATACCCAAGAATCTATTGCATTAAGGAATTCAATTAGCTCTGAAACGGTATGTTCAGAACTCTGACGAGAGAGAATGCTCCTCAGGTATCTGAAAATGAGCATACATGAAAGAAGGTTTATTAGTATTGTCCAACAACAAACACCCACTCCCCATCCCAACAATTTAATGTCAATATGTAAACAATTCCACTTGAGCAGCCAATAGGGAAGTTGGGGGGGAGGCAGAAGTAGAACTATACAGGAAAAAGAAAAATTAAAACAATAGGAAACCTAAAGTTCGAATCAGAACCTCTCAAAGTCAACAACTTTGTGCACCTGATTTGCACCACGCAAAGCAGCCAATGCCAACTGCATCAAATTAAGATGGGCAAGTTAAAGATGAAGTATATATTATCCATGAGATATATATATAAAAGTTGGACCACGATCCAAAATCCAAACTCTACCCAGCATGGTGAACTTCAGTAAAGGCCACATTATTTTTCTTATCTTTCGGTTGGGCTCTATCTCACTATATACGAACTGACCAACTTCTCTTCCAACTCATAAAATTCATTAAATGCTGCTCCTAACCCTAGTAACTCTCCAACCAAATCCTAATACTCAAACCTAAAATGGGAAAAGTATTTCGATTCTTTAGCGAAACTTTCCAATTAAGTTGCAAACTTATGTTTGATATTTAAAATTAATGACCAAATTCTGAGCTTGAACGGCTAGAAGCTTGAATGGCAAATCGTACCTGCCCAGGAGGGAATAGAAGTGGTGCATCCGTGAGCATGATTTTATCCACTTCCATCTTTGCAGCATGAAGCAAATTCTACAAAACATTCCATCAAAAAAATATTTAGCTGGTTAAGCAAAAAGCCAGATTACCCTCATCAAAAGAACTAAATTTTCCACTAAATGGGAAAGTCTTAATTTGCAACCATTATATTGCACCCCAAGGAAAAACGTTACACACAAAGCATTTTAGTGATATTTGGCTTGTGTGCAGAGGAGTGGGACTTTCGGAGTTCTTCCTTTGACAGAAGTGAACTGACATAGTACTACCAATATCAATAAATTCCTTGGAAATTTTGTTTTTTTTCTGTTATGTACATATTGACACAAGAACCAAATGAAACAGAATTATTCATTTAATTAAAAGACTTCCTCAGTGAATTACGTATAGTTTAAATTTATTAAGTCATGCAGAAAGATACATTGCTTGTGACTGGCTATTGGTTATTTAAAATGATTGCAGCAACTCAACAAAGAAAGACTCTTAAAGATTCAGTTGAATAGATGCCATGTAACAGAACACACTATTCAGCCATATACAATTAAAACAACGCCAAACAATTACCTGCAGAATTTGGAGTTGATCATCGTTTATTCCACAGAATTCCTAGAAATGAACACTAGTTGTCACCAAGTACGTGCAAGGAACTTCTTAAAAAAATTGAAATGCATACAAAAATAAAATATTAAAGATGCGCTAGAGAAAACCAAAAGAAATTTTAAGAAGCATCCCAAAAGAGTAGGAAATAGTAAAGTCAAAGCATCCTCGTAGAGCATTTTGTTGGGGAGGGAAGATATGCAGAAAATTTTACCTCCATATCATCGATAAAACCTTCAATTGAGCGATATGGTGCATAAACAATAAGATCAAATTCCAAACTCTGCACAATAAAGGTATAGTGTTATATTAAACAAATAAAACAGAAACGAAGTAGAAACAACAAAGAAATGTGTGGCACATCCATGCCTGATAAACTATCATCTCATTATTGAGTATCATTTGATGATCCTGTGAGATCCCCTTACCAAGCTCCTCTGCTGATACGTGGTTTTCTTCTATTTTACAAGCCGCATATATACAGG